ACAGTGCTGACTGTATGAATGAGGTCACTTGGAAAATGCATAATCACTTCATCACTGGAATGTTTTTAAAGATTTTACTACTTTTTAAAAATTATTTAAAATATGTGCATTCTTTGCAAAGCATCCTTATCTCATAAATAGCCACACCTCTGGTGGAGTATTTTACAGTTGAGCAGCTTTTCCTCAAAGGAAAGTGGCCCTATTCTGCCTTGGAAGCCCAACCTCTAAAGCAGGCTGGACTAGCTGGCCAGGGACCCAACTCATGGGGGAAGCGGAGGACCCAGGGATGGGGACAGGGAGTGGCCAAGAGTAGATGCTTATTCTTCATCTGGAATCTTCCCTATCCTTCTGAGTGCTGTGACCCCACAGAGGTGCCTGCTTAAGTTGCTCTTGAGTCTTCCGCGTTCTCAGTGTGGGATTCCTGAAGGTCGTCGAGAGCCAGGATGGAAGAAGGAGAGAGACCGAGTCTGGGGCAGGAAGGCAGAGTGCTTAGCAAAGGAGAAAGGAGGACCACTGTGGGTTGAATCGTGTCCCTCCGAAAGATGTGTTGAAATCCTAACCCCCGATGCCTATGAATGTGACCCTATTGGAAATAGAGACTTTACGGATGTCATCAGGTTAAGATGACATTAGTAAGGTAGACTCTTAATTCAGTATGACTGGTGTCCTTATAAGAGGAGAGAAACGCAGGAAGGCACAGAGGGAAGATGATGTGAAGACGTGGGGAGAGAAGGAGGCCATGTGACAATGGACGCAGAGATTGGAGTGAAGCTGCCCGAAGCCAGGGAATGACTGGGCTACCTGAAGCTGGAAGTGATGAGGGAGGAGCCTCCTCTAGAGCCTTTGGAGGGGCAGTGGCTCTGCCAGCACCTTGATTTCAGACTTCCAGCCTTCAGAACTGTGAGAGAATGAATTTTTATTGTTTTAAGTCACCCAGTTTGTGCTGCTTTTTATGCCAGCCCCAGGCATCTAATGAAGGCACTATAAATAAAAAGGAAATGATACCAAAACTCAATTTTATGTGTTTTCTGGTTTGAGTTATAGCTGTCCTTGCTGTAACCCCGGCTTCTGATTGACGTCATTTAAAAAAACTGCAGTTGAACATTAAGACTTCAGAGAAGCACCTGGGCTCAGTAAGCGTCGCAGAGAGTGATTTTACGAAAACAGTTGTGTTCACATTGTTCCTTCATTCTTGTGACTGCTGAGACATACTGAGGAAGTGGTGAGCCACAGACCTGAGCTCAAGCTTCGAAATGCCCGAGTCAGCATGAGTAACATTGTCACTCGGGGGAGACAGGTTGACACCTGCTTTATTTGAGACTCAAGAAGATAATTCACGGTATTGATTCAGCATTTTTATTTGCAAGCGATAAGCAAACATGTAATCTTTTCTCTTTACTGCGATTCTTTTCATTGTGGCTAAGCAAGGAGAAATCTGTAGGTTTGGTGTAGGCCGCCCCATAGACATTCATCTGCAAAGAAGCTAAAGCCAGGGCATTTTAATGCATCAGAACAGAAGGCCCGTGTGTTTACATCAGGTCCCAAGTTGAGGCCCTTTGAAGGGGGTCTCTTGGTGGGGAGAGAGTTGTTCCAGCACCTGGAATTAAACACCTGGGATGTGTACGTGTATTTCAGGCTCCATCTTCTGGGTTTGTCATGATGAGATCAGTTGTGGCGGTTATAGAGATATGACGGGTATAGGCCGCCCTAATGCCAATGGTGCCATTGGTCAATAGCTTCCCGGTTTTTCTCTTTCTGTTCTGGGAAGGAGAGATGAAGTCGTGTTAGGATAGCGAGGACTCTGACCTGAAGATAGCCACCGAGCTCTCTGGGCAGCTGTCAACTCAAACCGCCCTGCTGGTGGTGCCATGAACCACCTTTGTGTGCGCCTTGTTGGCAGATATCAAATGCTAGAGCTGCCAGGGCCTGAGAACACTGTGTCCAGAGGCTTCACTTTAAGGATCAGGCCCAAACAGATGACAGTCATGGAGCTGGGTGCCAGCAGAGCCAAAGCCAAGGTTAGGCATTCCAGTTCAGGGATCTTTGCCTACACAGCCAGCAAAGCGGGGAGGGTCTTATGCAGAAACTCTCGGAAGTTATAACAACTTAGAAACAAAATACAAAAGTAACAAAATAGTAGTAAAAATAGACTACAAGCTGTACCATTGAAAAAGTCATGGAAGGAAATGTCAGCTTTGAATGATGGGATCATGAGTAACTTTTCCTCCACACTGTTCTGTTTTCTAAGCTTTAAAAATAATATTTTTAACATTAACTGGAAAAGGGGTGGATGAAGCAAATATGGGGACATCTGGATATCTGTTGATTCTGGGTGGTGGTGTGTGGGGCTTCACTATACTCTAAACTTTTACATATATTTGAAATCTTTCATAGTAAAAGGCTAAAAAGATCAGAAGGGAGTTTTTGATGAGGAAGAAAATCCCGATTTTATTCCTAGGAACATCTGTGTGCAGTTGTAGGCTTAGGCTCCTGATGCCATTCGAGGCTGCTGCCACAAGATACCACAAGAACTTAAGTATTTAAAAGCATTCATGCGGCTCCTCAAAAAGTTAAACAGAATTACCATCTAAGCCACCAATTCCACTCCCAGGTATATACCTAAGAGAACTGAAAATGACCAGATGGAAGCATAAACCGAAATGCGAGATATATGCACGTATGATTCAGCGATCGAAAGGGATGACCTCTTGTTATAGGCTGTGATATGAATGCACCTTGAAACATGCGAAGTAAAATACGCCAGGTGCAAAAAGACAAATACTGTGTGATTCCACTTCTACGAAATGTCTAGAATAGGCAAATTCCTGGAAACAGAAGGCAGAGGTCACCAGGGGAAGAAGAGTGGAGAGCTCTTGCATAACAGGGAGAGTTTCTGTCTGACACATGGAAGAGTTTTGTAAATTGCGGTGACGATTGCACAACGCTGCGAATGTACTAAATGCCACTGGATTGTGCACTTAAAATTATGATGGCAAATTTTATGTTCTGTATCTTTTACCACAATTTTTTTTTTAAGTATTTCAAAAGCGTTGGGAGGATGGGAAGTCCTGACAGAAGTAATAAGGATCAGAAGCCTGTGAACCTGACTTCAGTGCTAATGAAACACATCCTCTGTGGCACTGGGCTAACAGAATGGCCTGGTGGCCTCAGAGTGTGGAGAAAAGGCGTGTCCCTGTGGTTCTTCGCACCTGTGAGAGCCAGATATCCTCGACAGAAAGGGTCCCTGTTTACCACTAGGTGTTCAGGCCCTGAGGCTGCTGGCAGTGTTTCCTTCCTGAGCTTGGAGTTGGTGCTAGCTACCCTTGGTGCTGAAATCCCCTTTGGGACTTGGTATCTCAGGGACAGCCTGGAGCTCAGTGTCACTCTCAAGCAGGAGCTTGGGTGTTAGGTGTAGGCCATTCAGATAGTTCTCAGGCTGGGTGGGCTAGCTACTCTTAGCCAGTCTTGAGAACACGATTGCGACATAGAAGTTGATCCCTCCCACCTCAGGGCATGCCAGATTCTTCTTAGACCTTTTCACTCAAAGGGAAGGCCTCCCTGGTAAAGACCAGAGGCCCTGACAGTGTGGGGGACCACGTGTGGCTAGGCATCCTTTGTCATGCAGCCAACGTCCGATGGCCTGACCCAGGCTTCTGGCCTTGAAGGTCGAATCAGGCCGTGCCGCCACATAGGCCTTGGAAGTAGGAGCTCAGCACACTGTTTATCCTGGAGCTTTCTGAGGCAGAAACTCAGACTTACTTCTGCCGTGCAGAGCTGGTGGTTTTGCAGCCAATGCAGAGCCCAGTGAAGCTCTAACCCTTCCTGGCCCCCTTCCGCAGACCAGGACGGGCGTCCTGGGTGGATTGGTAGAGAGGCCTTCCTCGTGGGGCTTTAAGGCCCTCAGGAAGGTCATTGTCCAGAAGTCTCTCTCCAGACCACCTGCCTAAAATTCCTCCACTGGAAACCCAAGTCCTTCTGGTCACCCATGGTAATCCCTCAGCATTTGCTTTTATGAAGCCAGAATATCGGGGAGGGGACTAACATCCAAGTGCTCTCAGTTATTCCAAGACTAGGTGACATTGTGAGATCAAGATAGCTAACTGAAACGAGAGTCCCGATGAGGGCGAGGGAGAGTGGGGGTCCCAGAGAAGGGCTCTGAGCGCTACCCCTGGGGAGAGCTTTCTGGCCACTGGGCAGCAGTCAGTGTTCTGGGGCAGAGACAAGGGAAGAGGAGGAAATTGAAATGTTTCTCCTTTATCAGTAGTTATCCTCAGGCCACTGGGCTCTCTGGCTCTTTCAAGGCCTGGGGAGACCCCCTGTGGGTCCCTCTGCTTTACCCCTTCACTCTATCCTCATGGCAGTTCTTGCATTGAAGATTTCCAGGACCGCTGTGCATTTAATCATCTTTCATTTGCAAGAACAGAGCTTTGCTGGCTTAGTTCAGATCCCTTACTATGTCACCTTGGGTATTTCCGTAAAATGGAAATTATAAGGCCTCAGAGTCTGGAGTTAAGGATTAGGTGGTTCCGTCCGGTGCCCGATGGAGCTGCTGCTCATCAGTGACAACAGCTGCTGTCACAGGCCTGAAGGCCTGTGCCTTGTCTTCATAGCTGTGGGCAAGGCCTGAGGCCCCTGATCTTAGTCTCCTCTGGCTTTGGTAGAGGACCTGTCATCCCTGAGGTGCCTAACCTCTCATCTTAATTTATCATGAAAGGGAAAACTGAATGTTTTCCACCCAATGTTAGAGATCTGGACTTGAAACATTTTAAAGGCACAAAATAAAATGCTGTTATGAATTCTGTGAGTAAAAAAAACGCTAAAGGAATTTTGGAGGCCACATTCTCATTTTTTAAATGCCTCTCCCGAAGCTGTCCACCAAGGTAAACAAATCTCCAACAGAAGTAAGCAGCCCAAGTTGTTCCAGGATGTTTCCAGGAAAGTTTGGTCTGCCAGGGTCCAAGCCCAACACCTGTGTGCAGAGCTCAGCCAGGTGCCGCCTGAAGAGTAATGGGCATGGCCTGCAGCCTTTGGGTACCCGGTATTCGCATTCCTTTCACTAAGATGCCCTAAGGCTGTGTTACCTCCCAAATCCACCAGAGCCAACAAGCTAGGCGGTGACAACTTCAGAACAGAAATCGCTGACTTTCTTTAACAAAGGTCACCGAACCTGGGGCCTCAGGGCCAAGCTCATGTGCACGTGGCGCTTGCTCAGGAGCATATCAGTCTGGAAGTTGGGAGAAAACCAAAAGAGAAAAAAAACACACGCGTGCAACACACAGGGGCCTGCTGATCTGATCCCTATTAAATGTATCTACAAATTTTTGCTATGGTGACACTTGACAGCACTTAGATTCAAAGTCAGATTCAACCCTATGGAAAGCTGTGGTTCAAAAATAAAGCCTCCCAACCCATGCCCACACGCAGCTGTCCTCACTGAGGCCTTGATGAAATCAGCGTTTCCTGGGGTGGGGGAGGCAGGAGGCCCGTCTGTCTGCTCAGGGTAGAGGGCAGGGTTGAGAAGTGCTAATTCCCTGGTAAGGCACACTGAAGCAGAGGCGGTGGCTTAGCGAAGAAGATGCCAACAGCAGCTGGGTAAGGCACCAGCAAACATGTAGAAACGGGCAGGTGTCCGATGCTGTGGGTGGGTTGAAGCCTCCGCATCGGCTGTAAATGTTGGTGTTGGAAGTAGGGAGGGCACGAGGCAGGGCACTGGCGACCAGTGCTCTGAGTTTTCCTGCATTGCTTCCACCAGTCAATAAGATGCTTATTATAGTGACTAGGTAAACGAAGGCCTTAGTTTTCCTGGATGAGTAGTTCCTGGAGCCATTACACTGATGTAAATCCAAGGCCTTGAAAGTCAGTTTGAAATCCTCCCAACCCAACTCTTCCAGAGCTAAGCCACTAGTGTAGGTGCTAAGATAGAGAACACCAGCCACCACGGTGATCCCCATGTACGAGGAGAAAGCATAGTCAGCCCCAAATTCTCCCAGCCCCACAGCCCCTGGGCCTCTGGTAACTGAGGGGTTCTGTCGTCTTCTATCCCCTCTCAAGTTCTCTTGCCATTTTATGACGTTCTCCCTTCTTTTCAAGACTCCCATGGACATGAAAGAGCTTCTCTTCCTCTAATAAAAATTCAGGGAGAAGTAGAGGCAAACCGTGATTTTCCCACAAAGCCCCACATCCCCGGGGATGCTGGCTGAGAGCTCTCACCGTTCACCTCCGCGAAGCTCTCCGACTCTTGTAATTCCTCAGGATATTCTCTGTGCAGCTCGTCAGTCCACAGTTTCTGCCTGTTCTCCGCTGGGAAGAGGGAAGAGGTGAGAATGAGGGCCGCTGCACACATTTAGGGGAACATCAAGCATTTTGCCTAAGAGACTCAATCTTGTCGGAAAGGTATTTTGTGTGAGGAATGGGGATGGGGCTTCACCGAAATGCATTACTCCTGCCAGAGACTCTCACACTTGAAGGACCTAGGAGGTCTTCCCATCCAGCCGCCTCATGGTGCAAATGAGAAGACCGAGACCCCAAAAAGTGAAGCGATTTAGCTCCGCCCAGAGTTAGTGATGTGTCCAAGGACGAGGCCACTTAGAAACCAGAAGTCCAGTGGCCAGAAATGAATTCTATGAGGGATTAATCCAACGTGAAGTTCATTTCCCATTAAGTGACACCTTCAAGTCCTTTTAGCATCTTTGAGGACCTATCACAGCCAGAATGTATGCTGGGCGCTGGGATTACAGAGGCAAGTAAAAGAGATTCTGTCCCTCTATTAAAAGGCATTATGACGACTAAGTTAGAATTCTGCAGTGCACAGCAATGGCACGTGGTAGGGAGTCTGAGATGTTCCCTAGGACGCATGCCCGTAGGTGACTGTCTCCCTTATGTGGGGCTGGCCTGGTGACTCATTGCTGATGAACAGAATATGGCGAAAGTGATGGGATGTGACTTTACAGATAGGTTACAAGCAAGGCTGTGGCTTCCACTAGGCTTCTCTCCCTTTCTCTCTTGCCCTGTCTGTCTCGGAGGGAAGCCGTCCGCTACGGTATAAGCTGTCTTAGGGAGAGGCCCCGTTGTGGCAAAAACTGATGTCTTTGACTAGTGGTTAGCAAGGACCTGAAGCTTGCCAACAGCCATGTGAATGAACTTGAAAACAAACCTCGCAGTCAGGCTTTGAGATGACTGTAGCCCGTTGATAGACCCTGAGCCTTAGTTGATAGACCAGCTAAGCCATACCTAGTTTGCTGACCCCAGCAACTGTGAGATAATAATGTTCATTGTTTTAAGCTACTAAATTTGAGAGGTAATTTGTTTAAACTGTTAGGTTTGGGGGTTATTTGTTACACAGCAATGGATGACTAGTACAGGATATGGGGTTGTCAGGCAAAGTTCCTAATGGAAATACCAATTGCAGGTCTCCTTATTTCGTAAAGCAATGCATTCCAGTAAAGTTGGCTGTAAACCTTATTATGAGGAATCCTAGTTCTGCATTATGAAATTAGAGGCACGAAAAAACACCCCAGTGAAAAGTGAAACCTCTTGCAAAGAACACATACATTGGTACTCCAGTCCTGCCCCATGCCTCACCATCCCATGGCAGTTGAATAATAAAGCTCAGCAACAGTGCTTTGAGCCCAGAGGGAATCCCCACCTGAACTGCCACGTCTCACCTCACCAGCAGGTGCAGCTGTTCCTCACCTGTTCTAATTTAGCCCAGGGGAAAAAATATAGCTCTAGATTTTAGATTTTTACAGGTAAAGTAAGTTAGTTTCCAAGTTCACTCATTTCTGCCCTTAAGTCTTCACATTCGGTGTGAGAGCTGTGGTTATCGAGTGGAAATTATTTAAAGCTCTCTTCATTTCAAGATATTTCTTTGAACTGGGCTTCAGCTGAAAAAAATCCATAACAACCGGACGGCCATGTCTGGTGCTGGAGGGACTGGCCTCTCAGAACACCTCATTCCTCCCATGAGATGAGCCATGATTCCCCCCACATCATGGGGGCGAGGGACCAAAGCACTGTTGCCCCCACCAGCTCGCACGCGCAGGAGGAGGGGGTGGTCGATGATGGAAGCAGAGAGACTGAGGAGAGCCGCTGGTTCCCGCCACACTCGGCATAACGGTGTTGGGAGAAACAATAGCAGTATCTCTATGCGGAAACAGTAATGCCGACCATCTCAAGTCCTTCATGAAAGAAAGGGCTTTTAAGAATAATGAATGAATCATTAATTATATCACGTTTATAGTATTTAACAAATGAAAACTCAAGTTATCTGTGAATTGGTCTCAGTGCAGCTTCCTTCAGTAAATCCCATGTTTTTCCCACACTTGTGCCTTGACCTACGTAGTTACAGGAATCTTTAGTCTGGCGAGAGGGATTGGTACTCCAGTCCTGCCTCATGCCTCACACCTTGCCCCACATCCACACATTTCTTAGAAGGGCATTCAGGCTCACAGAGGTGCCGTGACCTAATCAAGGTCACACAGCTGGTCAAGGTAGAGCTGGGACTGGAACCAGAGCTCCAGGCTACCACGCTCTACTACTGGTTAGAACACACTGTGAATGGCAGCATGTCCCTTAGGGCCTGCCATAAGCCCCAGTGATGCTCCAAGTAACAGAAAGCTGCTGTGGGGGCACAGGGTGCTTAGGTTCTAGGAAACAGATGCTTCATGAGCCACCACCAGTTCCTAAAGAAGCATTTTCCATCCCTGCGTACTGGAGAAAAACAACTGTCTTCCCAAATTGACTTTAGGGGTGTCCCAAATTGGACCTTTGACTCAGCAAAGAATAAGAACAATTCAGTTTGGGGGACACTATGCATTGTGTACATCCCTTCTCAAGTACGTGCATTTCATCAGCTTCGTGCCTCTTTTCTCCCTAAAGTGACCTGGCTCTTTACCCAGAAGCTTAGAGATGGTAGATGACTGTTTCCTGGTTTCAGATTCAAGTTTATCAAAGTGTCACTCCTTCTACCTATTATTGGGTGCTGTTCTGCCCATTCACAGCAGTTGGCCAGGTGACAGCAGATGAACTCAGGTACATCCTAGGTATTCACCATCTGTCCTGGCCCCCCACGACTGACACCTGAGCTTCTGTTCGAGACAAGGGACCTCTGGCTTAGTCACGCGTCTCATTGTTCTGCTCAGCCTCCGAGGATGGAAGTTGTTTGCCTCCTAAACTCCCAGCCGTTCCCACCAGTAGAGCCTGTCAGAAGCTTACTTCTCTGATTTCTATCAAGAGCTGCCCAACCTGCATCTTACCAGCCTTTTCAGTGTTTCTTGACATTTGTTAACTTTTAAATCCCAAGTCTTGTGAGGCCTGGAGATTTTACCAGTGTGCTTAATATCTATCCAATTTTTTTAAAGGCATTTTATCTCCCAGAATTTTCTGCTTGCTTCTTCCTCACCATTTGAAAACAGTCCTGTTATTTTTACTGAGCAAGTTACCTTGCCGAGCGAGCCGAGCAACACAAAGACTTTATTCAGACACACGCACAATTAATGAATCGAGCTATAGACACAGAGACAGTCCGTGCTCAGAGTCCTTGGAAGACTCGTTCAAGGGCAGTAAACTCCAATGCCTTCAAGGGTCGGCAGGTCATGGAAATGAGGTCCATGCCAGGCAGGGGACACCAGGGCCTACTTCAGGCTGAAGCTCAAAAGCCTTCCAAGTGCATTGGAAATGAAGACTAAAAAAAACACTGCTGGCAGATCACCACACATTCAGGGGCTTGCACTTCAGAAAACTTGGACCCAGGGAGAGGAAGTGGCCAAGGCCACTTAGCAGCAAAGCTGTCACCAAACCCACAGTCCCAGCGCCGAGTCCACGTGCCCGCCTCCTGCTCACAGTGCTATCACCCTCACACATCAGGTGTACGGTCCCCCAAAAAGCCCACACCGAGATACCTTGTTCTCGACTAAAATGTGGGTTTTCCTCTTTGTGTTTTTAACGTTCTGAAATCAGGATGGATCTCATCACTGTTAAGTGCATGTGGCACTGTCCCTTTTTGTTCCTTATCCTGACAGCATAGTCAATCAAAGATGTGACCAACAATTATAAGACATGCGGAATTTCTAAGTCAGAGCTGCAGTCACTTTGATACCCGAGGGCCTACCTATAGCCTGTGGCCCCTTGCAGTCCCTGCAGTCCAGCTGACTGGGAGAGAGAGGGAACCGGGGGGCCAGCAGAAGGCAGGCCACCAACATCCTTACCGACGAGCTCGTTTGGGGGTTTGGGGAGCCGCTTGCCATGCTTCTTGAGGAAACTTGAGGCATCTGGTTCTTGCAGGAAAATCTTCTGGTCCACGCCTGAAACCAAAAAGAGGCCAGTGACAACCAGGACGAGCTCACCAGGGCTACCACAGGAGCTGGCCCACTCACCCTGCACTCCTGGCCGGCCCCTGCACTCACCTTCCTGAGCCTCTTGTCCAGAGACCTGGCTGATGCCCACCGATGCACTGGACCCCTCCTGCGGCACTGTGGGATGAGAGCAGAGAGCGAGGGCTGGAGCACACCTAGAGGACCCTCATCCCCGGCCAGGCCAGCATAGACCTTCCCGAGCTCTGTGACCTGCCAGGCTCTGGTGTGGAGTCTTGGGTCCCACACACACCAGCCCAGAGCCAATCTCCCCAAGAAACCACAAGACAAGCTGTTTTCTCTGTGTCGTATTGTTACACACACACACACACACACACACACACCAGGCACGCCTGTCTTATAAATAAGCACCCCCTTTTCTCCCTGGGCCACCTGAGCAGCCTCAACATCAGTCCATCCTTGGGGTCTCGCCACACTCACTGGACAGGAACATAGCAGCTGAGAGGCAGGAGACCAGGAGCAGCTGTCTCCAGCCCATCTTTGGAGAGGCTGAGGCTCTGTCTGGGAACCACAGGGCAAACAGGGTTCTGCAGACTCAGGCTGCCGGATCCTCCCTTCAGTACCAAGTTGGGAGAGACAGAGGAGAGAGGCAGGCGACCAGGATGTCACTGAGCGGGGGAGTGGGAGGGGTCCTGGCCGTGGCTTCCATTGGCTGTTCTTACTGGGGCACCGGAGATGTTTTTGGCACCTTGCAAACCTCACAGAAGCAGAGCCTGTCATGGGGGCCTGGGCTAGAACAGTTTTGAAGTGGCCTTTCCAAGATCCGCACCCAGAGTTGCTGTTGGAATGCCCGGCCTCAGAGTCAGGATTCTAGAGACCAAGGACAAGTTTCAAAGAGCTCCTGGCGTCTGCTGCAGGGGAGCTGGGGACCCTCGTCCTGGAGGCTGAAGCCTGTGGGAGCGATGAAGAGGGGCTCAAGGGGGACTCTGACTCAGATGTCATGCAAGGAGGAACCAGAAAGGCGGGAAGACCCCCAGTAGTGTGACGCTGTCACAGACACAGGCGCCCTTTCCGAGGGTAACCCCAGTACCCCTCGCCTTAGCACGTTGTCCCCAGCTGGTGCTCACCCTCGAGCAAAGCAGGGATCCCTTAGCCTGCGGTCCCAGAGCCCTTTCAAAACACTGACGAAGGGGCAGTCAGCCCTCCCCTGTGGAGGGGGAAGGCACGCTTTCCTTAGAGGTACATGGTGACATCCTATGTGTACTTGGATCATTGGTTAGGAATAGAATGTTAACGGCAGAAAAATAACCAAGTAAACAAAATAAATGGGTTGGTTTCCATTGGAGGAAAGTGCCACCGACACCTACTTGTCCTGGCTCTCGTAAGCTGGGAAACGGCTTAACGAGGAGTGGGCCCTGCATGACCACCCCAGAGGAGCAGTACACATGAGGACACATCAGTAGGATTCATCTGTCAGATTAACCAGAGGGCAGGGCCTGGGAGAGGGACAGGCCACGGGACAGCGATTTTGATGGGACTGCTGGGAGCGAGCGTGTATGTGAAATGCCTCTGACATCCTCGATACCCTAATTCCTCTTGCCTTCCTTAGTTCCTTTCATTTCAATCGCTGACATTTACTCAACACCTATTTTCAGCCAGGCACCTGTGCTAGCCCCTGGCCAACCAGCTTTGGGTAAACTTGTCCAACATCTCCAAAGACGAGTCTTGAAGGACCAGGGTTTCCAGAGCCCAGCTGGGATGGAAGGCGTCGTCCAAAGGCCCAGAAGAGCGAGGCCCTTTTGAGGAACTGCAGGTAGCTCAGTAATGCCAGAGCAGAGGAGACAGAGAGGCTGGAGGTAGCCATGGCCTCGGTCACAGGGAGAAGTTTGGCCTCCGTCTTGGCGAGGCATCTTGTGTGATAGTTGTAAGCACAGACCCCTGGCTGGGCTCCCTGGGTGCAGTCCCAGCTCTGCACTGAAGCAGCTGCACAGCCTTCAGCAAATCATTTTACCTCTCTGCGCCCAATTCCTTCCTCTGTTGCATAGATCGACGTGAGGATTCGAGTGAATGCACCAAAACCCTTAGAATGGTACCTTCGGGCACAAAGCATTGTATGTGTGTTTGCTATCATGATACAGAAATGAACCATGGAATGATTTTAAGCAGAGAAGTGACACGTGGTTTCTTTTACTAACCCCACTCTCCCAGCAATATGGAGGCTGGGAGGGCTTAGACTCAAGTGGCGAGCCCGAGAGAAGGCTGTTGCGAAAGTTCAGTGACAGACGATATTGGCAAAAGGCAGGAGTGGAAATGGAGAGGACAGGACATTTTAAAAGATTGTAGAATCAATAGGACTTGAAGGCAAACTATCTAGAGGCAGTGAGGGGTCGGAAGGGGTGCGTGTCACATGACTCTCAAGCTTCTAGTTTGGGCAGCTGGGTGGATGGATGGGGAGATCACTGAGGTGGAGAAAATTGCTCAAAGGACATATCATTGGACAAATCAAGTATATGGTACTTGCGGGATTACAACCAGGCCTTCTGAGGACAAATCCGGTGCTCTTTCCATTTTCCCACAACCGTAATTTTGTGAATATAATCAAACTTCTCCACAAAAGAATTTCGTACCCATTGGCAGTCACTCCCCATTTCCCCCAACCCACAAAGCCCGAGGCAACCACTAATCTTTCTGTCTCTATAGATTTGCCTGTTTTTGACATTCTATCCAAATGGAAACATACAATATGTGGCCCATTTTGACTGGCTTCTTTCACTGAAAACACTGTTCCAGGTTCATCCATGTTGTGACATCATCAGTAATTCATTCCTTCTTATTGCTGAATAATATTGTAGACCGAATAATGCACATAGACCAAATTTGACTTATTAGTTTATCAGTGCACTTATCAGTTGATGGACATTTGGTTTGTTTCTACTTTTTGTTTATTATGAATAATGCTGTTACGAACATTCTTATACAAGCTTTTGTGTAGACATGTTTTTATTTCTGTTGAGTAGATACCTAGGAGTAAAATTGTTGGGTCATGTGGTAACTCCACATTTAACTTTTTTGAAGAACTCTCATTATATTTCAAATGTTCATTTACTCATCTTTCTCCTTCAGTGCTGTAAGGTCTCTTTTAGGAGAAGTTTCCACCTTGTTCATACCTAAAACAATGTCTGGCACAGAATAGATACTTCATAAATGTTTATTGACTTGATGAAAACACTCTTGGTTGAGAGCATTAAAAAGAAGCAGTTATGAGTTCAACAGACTATTCCTAAGAATGTACCCATACAGGGACCTGAGATGTCCAAGTTTATGGATCACTGGGTTCAGAGTTCTTTCCAAGCAGGAGGAATAAATTTTGTGGTTCATTTGTGGATTGCCTTAGAGGGCGAGCAAGACAGCCTTAACAGTCTCTTCCACTTCACTAAACTTCAAACAGGTTTCTTTCTGCCTGTAGGCTCTGGACCTTTCTTTTCTTAGAGCATTTACTTTAGGAAACTTGCAATTATAAATTTTTACTCTGCTCCTTTGCAGTACATATGGATCTTCTCCCAACCTGTTTAGTTTTACAACCCAGGAAATGCCTTTTTTCCAGAACCCGAGGACCATCTTTTTGAGAGGAAAACATTGAAGGAGATAAGACCCCCATCTCCCAGTCCTGTAGGAGGACACATGACTGACTTCGACACCTTACTCCAACTGTGAAAGCCACTTAGCAAACACAGGTTGCCTACTATCCCCCGACCCCAGCTCTGAAAACTCTCCAGCCCTTTATTACAGTGGAGTCGAGTTTAGTCTCTCCTTTATTGCAGTAGTCTTGAATAAAGTCCTCCTTGCCTGTTTAACTTGTCAGTGCAATTAGTGGTGCAGTTTTAATTAACCCTGACAAAGGCATTGACTCAACATACCACCTGATCCACCAGGGACTGTGTGTATAGTTCATCTAAGTGGAAATGACCCTTGATGAGATCCATTCAGATGAGATCACTAGATGCCATAGCCCAAAGGCAAGCGTTATCCCGAAATAAATATATAAAAGCCCACTGCCTGTACCTAATGTTAATAATATATCATGTTCTTTTTTCTCACTTTATCTTCAATTGAATATGTTCCTGAGCCCCACTTCCCACCCTGCCCGTTTGATAGGGTTAGTTAAGGATTGTACCAAAAGGGGGACTTACGACCCTTGGAACCAGAGGAACCCCAGAACTCAGACTCCTCAGGAGCCCCCATGCAGAATAGGGATGAACACCTGTCCTGCCACCTCCTCAGTCGTGAGAAGGAAACACCTTAGATGTGAAGGTGAAGGCTTATTTTTTGGACAAGAGAGTGACAGTTCGTAAAAGTTTCAACTCATTTGAAATCCCTCTGGAGCTGAATATGTTGACACAGGTGGTTGTAGAAAATGGGGTTTTGTGAGCAGGACATTTCTGAAACCCTTTTCTGTGAAGGACATTCATTCTTCTGAGACCTAACCAGCGTGTCGTGGAGCTATTTTATAGCTTTTCCCTTCATGCGCTGTCAAAGTATTATCAGTCCCTATGAAAACTGGCTAGAAGCCTCTGGGTGAAATTAAGTCTGACGGGAGACGTGTCCATTCAGAGTGAATTAGCAATAGCCTCATGTCCTATTTCCAGCGTGACCAAGGACTTCTTCAAGTCTAGAGAAAGTCAAAAACCCTTCTCTGTCTCGCTTTTCCGGCATCTCATACAAGGAAGCAAAGAAATATTTGTCCTCCGCCATCACCACTAAGGTGTATGACGTGGTAGCCAAGAAGAGTTTTGTAAAGGGCTTGGGGCACCCTACAGCTGCCTGGAGTCAGCCACGAGATCATCCATCTCTGACTGGCAAACACTGAGCAGGCAAACACTGTTATGGCTGCAATATCAAAATACTTTCTCACCAGTTGATAAATAACTACTTTCCTGAGCATCTTCCAATGCTCTCTATTGCCCCAGGTCCCCCAGGCTCTGCCCTAGAACTTTCACTTTACATACTTCATTGCCTACAGGGATGATGCTTAGCCCAGCAGGAAACCTTCAGAACCCTGCTCTGTTCCCACAGCTGGCCTCAATTCCGATTGGTCGATTAAACATTTTTAATATTCCTCTGAATTCAGGAGTTCGTTATTATTAAGCTTGCCTAACATTTTCCCCACCTCATGGCCTCTTCTGTTCAGTTTCGATACAGAAGTACTACTTCCATCAGAAATCCCATACTTATTACAAAGATTCGTGTATGAGGAGGTTTAAAGTATCTTTATCACAAAAGTGGAAAATTGGAAACTCTAAATAAAACAGCAGGACACACATTATGGTATATGTGTGAGAGAAGAGTTTGTATCCATCGGAGGTGTTTTTGAAAGACATGGGAATACGATGATATAATAGTTGTAGATAAGAAGAAGCTACAAAGGTATAATAGGCAGCCAAATGCTCTACCAGAAAGGTATCCCCCTTTAGGTTGTCCTGGCTTACCGAAGGATCATTTTAGAGCAGAGTAGAGTAAATGGTATAAGGGAAGGATAGGTCGGCCCCCTTTTTCTGGAAGATCATCTTCAATGGATAGATCTTCATTGTTCTGAAAATGAATTAGTTTGGCATGTCCTGTGGGATGGGGAGGAGGGGCGGAGGAGGGACAACAGAGGTGGAGAGATGATTCGGGTCAGTGAGGGTAGCCTTGGGCAGGTTGCGACTCAGCATTCCTTGAGTATGCAGTCCGTGGAATCAGAAAGACCTGATTGCTAAGTTTGCTGACCTTGGGCTTGAGGCCCCAGACTACGAGTCTCCTGGGACTCATTTCTCCCCAAAGAAATGCAGGGAAGGACCTTTGCTCTACTGCCCATAGCGGCCGCTAGAGCAGAGCACTCACCGTCCAGCCTTCACTTCTGGGCTGCGCCATGCCAGCATGGTGGCCTGGGGGCTCCAAGAGTCTGTGCTTTGGACCGACACATACTCTCTCCCACCTTATTCGGCAGCCTCTTGCCCTTTGACCCAAGAGACTGAACCACTGCCGGTCTCCTGAGCTGCCCCAGGCTTTGGGAGTGGCCCCGGGGTGCCTGGGGTCATTGACGCAGCATAGCCTTAATCTCCACTGCACTGAGGTCGACCTGTCAGGGATCTAAAGAGCATCCCTGTCTGGGTGGCTCAAAGCCCCTCTCGTGAAGGCAACACAGGGTGAGAAGCCCATGTCCAAAGATTCTCTGCTCTAGGAGATGACGACAGCTTAGCAATGCAGCCACACTGAGAACTGAAGATTTGACCCAGCTGCTGACTTAGGCACAAGTCACTGAGGCCAGATTCCAGCGCAGACCCTGATCTCATCAGACCCTGGTCCCAAGACCAATCTCCCAAGATGCAGCCAAGGCAGATGGTGCTGCTGCCTGCAAGACCACTGGTGTATGGCGGGAGGGAGACTTCTCTGGACTCTGCTATTGCCATCGGATGGGGGGACTCAGATGTTCTCACTGCCGGGATGGGCGGAGGTGCGTTAGCTCTCCTCTAGAGTTCTAGAGATGTGGTTCTCAGACCTGAGGACACATTCGGCTCTCCCTAGTGCTTTAAAAACACCAATGCCTGGGCCTCAACCTCTGAGATTCTGAGCGTGTCTGTGTATATGTGTGTAATTTGAAAAATTCATATCTTTTTATCAGCTAGTATTGATTAAAAAAATTCTCGAATCATTTTATTTTTTTCAGATTTGTTGTGGTATAATTGATAAAATTGCGTATGTCTCTAAGGTGCACAACCATGTTTTGATTCATGTATACATTATGAAATAATTACCACAATAAGCTAATTAACATATCTATCAATGCAACCTCTGAGGTTCTTATTCAGTTTGTCTGACGTCTGGGCGTCACTATTTTTATGCAGATATTTTAGGTGATTGTGATGGACAACTAAAGTTAAGAACCAGTTCTGAGAATGTATATTTATTCAAAAACTCATCCAGTTTTAATTAAAAAATACATATATGGGCATTGAGAAAAAATTTGCAATAGGAGTAGTCTTTATTCCTTTAGTTTTGAGAGCAAGGAGAGGTGTATTTTTCAAGTTT